AATGTTAAAACAGTGAGCTAAATAATAAAAAGTTAGTGGAAATTAACTAGAATTTTACTCTCAAAGTGAGCTAAATAATAAAACTCTTTTAGTGGCATTTTTTATATTTTATTTTACTCTTCTGTAGAAAGATTTAAGAGACTCAGCTCAGCTCAGCTACCTCCTGTTTCCTCGGACTTCCTGTTAACGTTCCTTCACCTGGTCGCTAACGTCAGTCAGAAGATGGCTGCTGTAACCGACAGACGAGGTGGTGGGAAAACAAAAACACACCTCCAGGAACGGAAACAACGGGTTCGAGAGGCCTTAAATCAGAGAAACCAGGAGACTGAAAGTTAGTTCCGGAAGTTATCAGAACTAGCCCCGCCTCCCTCGCTCCAGCTGGTTTTCCTGTCACCTGTGGGTTCAGGTGGAGGCTCCTCCCACCTCTCTGCTGGAGGCTCCTCCCACCTCTCCGCTGGAACCGTGAGCCAATAAAAGAGCCGAAACTTCCTGCTGTTTGACACAATCACTACGCAAATAGTTTAAAGTTTCTGCGTCGCTCAGAGTTTAAGTTTTATTTTGTGCGTCCTTCATGCAGTATCTTAGTCTTTTTTATATTTACTGTTGTTCTTTGTTAGGTGGCGAAGAAAACACGTCACCTGCCGCACATTCACCTGTTCCACTCGTTAACACATCGTTAAAGTGACGTCACCGACGCACGTCGTTAATTTCTGAAGGTGTTTTCACTTAACGAGCTTTGTCACTGGATCCAACTTTATTTTTCTGTTTTTATTTTTTTAGCCAAAAGATGATTTAAAACTTCTGTCACTGAGTCTTAAGTTTGTTTTTTATTCATTATTAAAGAGAGTTTAGTGGGAAATGGTCTTATTTTCTTTATTCTTTGAGAGTTTAAGATTGTTTCTGTGTGGGGTTGTCTGTATCTGTAAGTAGTCAGTGTCTTACCTGCAGCAGATAACAGTTTTGGAAAGTGTATCAATGAGGAAGCAAGTTAACAGCTACTCAAATCTAAAAAAATGTTGTTGTTTTTTTACATTTAAACCAGTCGGCCTCCTGCTCTGTCGGCCATTTTTAACTTTGTTAAAAGGCTGAACGGTTAGGGTTAAACTTTAAACTGAAAATCTCAAAATTTTACTGGTAAACTGAACCACACAAACATTTTTATTTAACTAGCCTGATGTGTAACGTTAAGGCTATTAAGGCTCTTATTGTGAAYGACTGAAGGTAAATAACACCAGTTGTGAAGACTCTTATTAAAGAGAAGACTCTTATTGTGAAGGACTAAAAGGCAGTAAGACAGACTCTTGTGAGGGGCCAAAAAAACTAAGACTTTTATTGTGAAATTCTCTGTGAATCACAGGGGCAGCGGTGAAAGGTTTTTAGATTATACTTTTTTGGCCATTTGTTTTTAAACTATTATTTATTTATTTTATCTTTTAAATTTCCTCTTCTGAACAGTTTTTTTTCCTGAGGTGGTTTTAATCTGTTGTATTTGTACCTAAAATGATAAATATGAAAAACTAAAAAGGTTTAGGTTTAAAATACGCTTTACAAGATTTAAATATTAATTTCATATACACGTAAATCACTGAGTTGATGTCTTGATTTTAAATTATCAGATGAAATTTTATTTTTATTTTCCTTATAATGAAGTTTATTAGCAGGACTCAACATTACAGCTCAAATAAAAAAGCACAACTTTCAGCAAAATACAAAAAAAAAGATTCAGCAAGGGAGCACAACGACACGAAAAACAAAATAAATTCTTAAAAACTGACGATCCGAACTCAGGCAGAAATAATCAAACTGCACATCGTCTAATTATTAAAATACATCTATAAT